TAGCAGGCAGTGGTCACTGTTGCCCACGGGGTCAAGCACCCACAGCCCCCTCACCAGGTCGTCACCAGCTTTGACCTCTTGAACTAAGCAGTACCAGTATGCAGTAAAATGTTCTCATCAATCCTCCCAGTGGAAGGTAGGGTTCTAGGCAGTAACCATTACAACATGGAGGTAAATGCCTGGCTGAAAAGGTGGTGTAAACATGAAGGCTTTGAATCCTTCCACAATGGGCACATGTTCTGGGGACAAGGACTGCTATCCAGAGATGGCATCCATCTAACAAGAACTGGGAAGATCAGCTTTTGGAACCATCTGGCCAACCTAGTAAGCAAAGCTTTAAATTAGATTCCACAGGGGATGGTGAACAACTATAGGGGTGAAGAGGATGGGGATAGAGAGGGAATGGAGAGCAACAAGGGTGATATCATGGTGGGGTCTGCTATAGACCACCAGACCAGGAGGATGAGGTAGATGAGGTTTTCTTCAGACAACTAGCAGAAGTTTCCAGATCACAGTTCCTGGTTCTCATGGGGGACTTCAGTCACCCTGACATCTGCTGGGATGGCAACACAGCAGTGCACAGGCAATCCAGGAAGCTTTTGGAAAGTGCTGGAGACAACTTCCTGGTGCAAGTGTTGGAGAGGCCAACTAGGGACTATGCTCTTCTTGACCCATTACTCACAAACAAGGAAGAATTTGTGGGGGATATAGAAGTGGATGGCCAGCTGGGTGCTGTTCTGCTCCCCTTGCTTCCAGCAGAGTCTCCTTCCAATCCAGTCCCTGCCACGCCACTCTGGACTTGGGTGGGGGGTGGGGGGGAAAAGGGGGCTTCAGCCAGGCAGCTCCTGCCCCAGCATGCAGGACTCCGGCTTCAGCTCCTGGCTGCCTTCCATCTGATCCACCCACCCACAAGTGGCTGCTCATCGCGCTGGGCAGATGGAGTGGGTAGAAGACAGCTGGGGTTGGAGGCCCACACACTGGGGCAGGAGGCCTGGCTGAATATCCACCCCCCACTCAGAGCAGTGGAACAGGGGAAGGAGCAGGAGGAAGAGATGCAACTGGAGGTGAGGGGAGCAGAGCAGCACCCCGCCAGCTGCACCTGCACTGGGAACAGTCCTGCTGGAAGCTGCACACTGGCTGGGGCCCAGGTCAGTGGGTGTGGGTTGGAGCATGCCCCGGAATGCCAGCCCCATGCAGAGTGCCACAAGGGCAGCCATGGGCCAGTTCCAGTAGGTTGATGGGCCAGATTTGGCCCACAGGCCATATTTTGCCCACCTCTGCTCTAACTTATGCTCTGATCCATCAATTAGGAGAACCGAGTTCTGGCCCCGGTTCTGCTGCTAGTTTGCCAAGTATTGTTGGGAAGCCTCTCTGCCTGTTTCCCACAGTGAGAGACAATTTTGAGCTTTCTTTGCAAAGTACTTTGAACACATGAATAATAAGTTTCACATAAGAGCTAAGCATGGCTTTGGTTGCTGCTTGCTGTCTTTTTGGGCAATGTCTGGACATGCCTTCCCGGCTTCTTTTTGTCTCTCCCCTACCAGCTCTAGTGAACAGGGTGCATTTAAATACCCTTGACAGGGAGCTAAGAATAAACTCAAGACACTACTTAATAGATGTGGGGCGGCTCTCAGTAAATGCCACCTCTTAGTTTTTCCTCATTTTTATATTATAGAAAAATAATAGATCAATTCCTCTGTGGCAAAGAACATGGAAACAGCCCAACAGGGCAGAATGTTTTTGACACTATGGATTCATATTTGAAATCTGAGTTTTTTTGTGAATCATGCTTATAACCTTAACAGTGCTAACATAGCGTGGTACCCTTGAAAGGATCTCAAGGAACCCCAGGGTGCCATGGCATCCTAATGCAGCAGCTCTGCACTGAGAGTAGAGCTGCTGGAGGTTAATCCTCAGCAGCTCTGCTCTCAGTGTGGAGCCATAGCTGGGTGAGACCAGAGAACCCACAGACAAGGTTCTCTGGGTAGTTGTGATATCTTTTATCAGACCAGCTAAATAGCTGGAAAAATCTTCTTTTGGGCACAAACACCAAAAACTTCAGAAAACTGCAGAAAAACTTAGAAATCATCTCCTTCACATAACCTACTCCAAAAGAGATCAACTCCAGAAGGAAATCAACACATGCTTCAACAACTTAAAAGAGATAAATCAGGATATCTTCCCAACCATTATACAACAGCTACAAAAAGACTATAAAAATTTACAACATCCATCCAACATAAAAAGAAAAATGGAACCAATTACTACAAGAACAGCAACTTTCCCAGCCACTGAACAACCAGAGAAACAACACCAATAAAGTACAACATTCCAAACTCATACCTAATGAAACTGAAGGAACCAGTCAACCCTCAACTATTATCAATCTCTCCACACACACACTTACCAAAGTTGAAAAATCTGTTCTCTCTAAAGGCCTTTATTTTGTCCAGAAAAATACCCTAATAAAATACTACAATGTGGAGAACTAGAAGATTTTTTATGACACCTCTGTCTTAAGGAATATCTCTATAACTAAAACTTTCAACAACTCTTTATCCTGTGACAACATTGTGGAAAAGATGAACGCCAACAAATTCAAAAAACCATCAGATTGGACACCTCATAGTGGACAAAATTCAAACCCTGACCACTATATTGACTGCTTCAGGGAAAGAATGAGCAATGAACTACAAGAAAAACTACAAAATTTGACCTCCCCAGGGACATACTCTCTAAAATCCACAAACAAGGAAACCCAGGCAAGCCTATAATGATTGATTGACAGGCGATCACTCCTGAACAAGTAAGACTGTCTCCCAAGGATCTTAATACGAGTCCTGCAGGTGGCTCCATAGCCCAATTCTAGATCCACATGTCTTGTCGCAGTGAGCACAGGTGTTTCCAGGAGGGATGGGCACTGTGTTGCTGCACTGGATGTTCTGATGTTCTTTTTGCCTGTTCCTTTTTTCCTCTTCTGCCTGTCAACAAACTGTTTCAAAGTGTTGAGGTCCCTCCCAAAGAGCCTCTCTCCATTTTGGCTGGTCCTGAGCAAGGGTCTCCCAAGTGTTGATGTCAATGTTACACCTCTTCATGTTTGCCTTCAGGGTGTCTTTGAAACACTTTCTTTTCCCTCCACTATTTCACTGACCTTCTTTCAGCCATGAGAAAATGATTCTCTTTGGAAGGCGGGAGTCAGGCATACAAACAGCATGACCCATCCAGTGAAGTTAGTTTTGGATGATTATGGCCTCAGTGCTTCTGGATTTTGCTTCGGCCAAGACACTGACGTTTGTGTGTCTATTCTCCCAGCCATGGGCAACTGGTGCCACCTTAGGCAGGTGGGGCACATGCTGATCCTGCCGACTGGGCGGGGGAGGGTCCCCCACAGGGGATCCTGCAGACCAGGTGGGGGGTTCCCCCCAGGCAATCCTACGACAGCCAATCGCTGTGGCCGATTGCTGCAATCGCTGCAGCCGTTTTTGGGAGTGTCACCACTGCTCCCAGCTAATCCAAAGGATCTTGCGAAGGCACCATTGGTAGTACTTTTCCAAGCTCTTGAGATGTCTTCTGTAGGGGTGTGCGAAGCAGGCCCTATTTGATTCAGATTCAGCCCGAATCATGGACAGTGATTCAATTCGTTGATTCAGATCACTGTCCCCGATTTGATTCAGCCAAAGCCAAATCTAAAGATTTGATGCTGAATCAGTGATTTGGACACAGACACAGCTTTAACAGCTTTTTCTACATACCTCAAGGTACCAGTGCAACTTGTGATCGCTGCAATGCTGGGGCGGATGGAGCGTCCCACAGCAGTGTGTGTGGGGAGGCCCTCCACATGCTCGGCAATGAACCCGGAAGTGGACTGGAAGTACTGAATTCATTTCCCCAGCCCGATAGTCGTGTTGGGGTGGGGAACTCAGCCCAGCTGGGCTGAGTTCTTTTCCCCAGCCCAACAGTCATGCTGGGGTTGGGAACTCATCCCAGCCCAATCGTAGAACTGGGGATGGGAACTCAGCCCAGCTGGCCTGACTTCCTTTTCCCAGCCCAACAGTCGTGCTGGGGTTGGGAATTCATCCCAGCCCAGTCGTAGAACTGGGGATGGGAACTCAGCCCAGCTAGCCTGACTTCCTTTCCCCAGCCCAATCTAGCGCTGGGGAGAAGAACTGAGCAATCAGGCTCAGTTCCCATCCCCAATGCCAGCTGTCAGCACCGGCTTCCCTCCCTCATCTGGCAGGCACATCAGGGGCCCTCAGCTCCGGGAGGACTGGCACAGCCCCCACAGCCCTCCCAGGATTAGGCCCTGATCTGCCTGCCAGATGAGAGAGGCTGTTTCTAGCTTCCCCATTATAGTGAATGGGCAAAATGTTGAAACAGCCTCACTGTTTTGATGAAGCGAAACAGAACAGCTGTTGCGACTCAAAATGAAATTTGAAACAAAATGCTGTTCCGTCAAAGCCTCAGAACTCAAGTCAAAATGGAACAGTGCTGTTTCGCACAGCCCGATTTGTTTCTCCATTTGGAGCAGTTGGTAAAGGACTTGCGTTTTCCTGATGTTTAGAGTTAGGCCAATACTCTCATAGGACTTCTGTGAATACATTAAGAATGGTTTGGAGGTCCATTTCAGATGGAGCAATGACGTATTGTCATCCGCATACTGGAACTCCATTATGGATGTTGTCGTGGTCTTCGTTTTGGACTCCAGTCTGTTAAGGTTGAAGAGTTTTCCATCCATCCTATACACAATTTCAATTCCAGGTGGGAGTTTTCTGTTGATGAGGTACATTATGGTGGAGATGAAGATAGACAATAAAGTTGAGGCAATGATGCAACCTTGCTTCACTCCAGTTTTCACTGCAAATGGTTCTGTTTGATTCCTGTTGCTGAGAACCCTTGCTGACACGTTGTCATGGAGGAGTCTCAGAATACTGGTGAGCTTGTTTGGGCAACCAGTTTTGGACAGGATTTTCCATGGGGCTTCAGGGCCTACCTATAATATCTGACCATGGAACCCTAAATGAGGAAATATCTGGTTTCCTCCATCTGAAAGCCTCTTGTGACCCAAAGACCGATATTTGTCCAAGACACAACATGCTTTCTAAGAAAACTTAAAAATATAGACTACCTTCCAAGCAATACCCTCCTAGCCGTCATGGATGTTACTAGCTTATATACCAACATCCCACAGCAGGATGGCATCCAAGCCTGCTTTACATATCTACAAGAGCAAGATTACAACTCAGAGTACAGACCTAAATATACTACCGAATTTATATACTTCATCCTCATGCATGACTTCAGTTTCAATAACCAATGCTTCCTCCAGACTATGGGCACCAAAATGGCCCCACAATACGCCAAACTTTTTATGGCCCACCTGGAAGAAGAATTCCTCCAGAACTGCACCATGAAACCCATGCTATACCTGAGATATATAGAGGACATCTTCACCATTTGGACCCAAAACCTGCAGTCTGATTGATTTCCATCACAAATTCAATAACTCTCACCCCTCCAGCAGACTATCTCTTGAATACTCTAGCATTAACATTTCTTTTTTAGATACTATGATCAATATCTAGAATGGTGAAATACAAACCACTACATACAAGAAACTCATGGACCAACAAACATATCTACACAGAACCAGCAATCACCCTAAACACACCAAGAAAGCTGTAATATACAGGCAAGTCCTCTGATACTGAATTTGCACTGAGAATACCCATGATTGTCACCTTGCAAATCTCAAAAGGGTCTTCACCCAACAAGGGCCCCCCCCTCCAGAGAGAGAGATCATACTTTTAAGAGAACCACCCATATACCTCGTGAAGAATTACTGCAGTACACAGCTGTATCAGAAATCGGATTGGTATCGGCCAATATGTCTCCTTAAAAATTGGCTATCACTATTGGCCCCCAAAATCTCTATCAGTGCACTCCTAGGTGAGGGAGGGGCAGGTCCTGTGCTGGACTAATGTTCCCTACTTGTTGCAGTTCTGAGTCAGACTCTCAGAGTTTCTGGCCCACCTGTCAGCTCCATGACCTCAGACTGTGCTAGGAGAAGTATATGTGGGACACATGGGTTAGGACAATACCTGAATAACTTCATGTTCTAATAGGCTGAGGAGGAGGGGAGGACTCAGAGTTGTGTCTCTCTCTTCTGAAAGGAGTAGGGTTGTGCATCTTGCCTGCTTCCAGGGCAAGGTCTGGTACAGGAAAATAGCCCATGGAGCTTTCCTCTGCTGAAGGGTCCCAGGTGGCCTCCGTGTCACAGGAGTCTGCACCAATGTAAGGCCTTGGCATGAACCTGAACCTGGACTCTGTGCTGAGTCTCAGGCTTCATGACACTCAGGGCCCCAGAGGTGAAACAGGAAAGGGACAATTCTGGTGCATCGGGGTTTCACTGACCCCCACAATCTGAAAGCTTCTGAATCCCACCCATGCCATGGAGCCATTTAATCCAGCATGAGACCATGGTGAAACACTTCATGAGTTCCAGGTCAACCTGATCAGGAGAATCCAGGGAGAGCCTCAGCTTCCTTCTTGTCCAACAGTAATGGCTACACTGAGCCTCCTCATATTATGCTGATTTCCACGGTGGACTACAAATCCCATCATGCCCTAGGAACACATATTAGAGAATTATGGCTACCTTGGTCTGGGGAATGAACTCTTAGATTCCTGAGTGAAGATGGAAATTTAAGATAATGGTATCCCAGGGAAACCAGATCTGGGCCAAAAAATCAAGACAGCAAACCTGATTGTCCCCTAACATGTCATTAGAGGGTTTGTCATTAGAAGAAGGGAACAGCTTCTTGTCTCCAAATCACTGAATTTCAGGGAGTGGGAACAACATCTCCCTGCACACATTATAGCATAAAGTATTGTGTTTGAAGTCAGCACGCTGGAAGGGCAGCACAGGGTAGATCTGCAGTTTCCAGGTCCCCCTGGCACTCTGGGCATGGAGCATTTCTGAAAGAAGAGTTGGGTGGAGAGGACAGCCACAACTCACCTGGAAGCAGGTCCTCTGATCTTGAGATTTTCCCATGGTTCCCATCATCACAGACCCAGAGCTCCACCTGTCCTTGCTGGTTGCTTCAGATTAAGTCAGGTGTGGGACCTCGATATCCCATTTGGGGCAGTGATTAAAGAGGGTTAGTGACTGGGTACTGGATGCAGAATAACCAGCTGGTATTTGGGGAATGGATCCAATGAACTCAAGGTTTCTCTACCAGGGCCTTGATGGACAAGGGAAGATGGGCATGTAGGAAAGAGAAAGCACTGAAGGGAGAAGCCTGCAACAGATGATGGTCCTTGTCACCCAGGTAGTGGAGGGATGGTCATAGGAAACAAAGCACCAACCACTCCTGGTTAAGAAATGGCATTAACCAGGGATGGGCATGGAGATGCAGTGATCCATGATGTAACAGGGAGCAGAAAGATAAAGCATTTGCTGTTTTCAAGGTACAAAAAAGAATAGATATTAGACCCACTTATGGATGGATAACATTTATCTTATCATTGCAATTCCAGGAAAAGGAGTGAAAATGAGCTTAGTGAAAGTGAAGGTTTAAAGCAAGGACTTGTGGCAGTGAAAAGCATCCATGACAGGTGGCTGATAATGAGATTTTTTTTCTGGAAGAGAGGGTAATTCAATATCACCAGGGCACAGGAAAGGATGATTTTAGGATAACTGTAGCTGTAAGTGAGCAATCATCTCCAGAGCCATACCTTGGGGGTTGCAAATCAGGGCAACCACCCCGGGCCCCACACTTTGGGGGGTCCCGTGGACAGTGCTGTACAGGCCCCATGAACAACACCATTGGCATGTGCTGAGGGCACCACCACTCCGTGTGCCACTGGCTTCACGCTCTGGACGTTTGTTACCCCTCTCCCTGCACAGGCCCCGCAAAGGCTGATATACTCTGGGCTCCGCACACCCGTAGGGTCAGCTCTGCTCATCCCATCCAATGGGACGATCATCCCAGGAGGGGAGATGAGTGCATAGGCTGGCAAATACTGCAGGTGTTTAACACAGCGTTCCTGGGAGTCATGGATATGGACAAAAGAAAGCAGAAGGACACACATTTCACAGCATGTGAAAGGCCATAATGTAGAAATGGTCTATGTTAGGGATGCACCAATAGCGATTTTTGTCGCCAATACTGATAGCTCATTTTTAAGGAGGCACATTGGCCAATATCAATCCGATTTCTGATACCTCCACTTTGCTGGATCAAATGAAGGAGGATATATCAATATGTAATGTGAGAGAGGTCTGGTCACTGACAGAGCAGTGTGGGGGAAATGGATTTAAACTGCCAGCCAAAAGTTCAGGAGAATGAGACTATTGAAACACAAGGAGATGACTACAACATGTTAGAGTCCACACAGCTCCATGGAGAAGCAAGAACCAGTGCTTTACCTGGGGAAATGAAGGCTTGGTAATTCTTCAGCACCTGGTCCTGATAAAGCACCTTGTTTTCATCTTCCAGCAGCTCCCACTCCTGCTGTGTGAAATACACTGCTACATCCTCAAACACCTCCCAGAGCTGCAGTCACAAGCATTACACCATCAAGGTCTCCTGTGTCAGCTGCTTCCAGCCCTCACAGCCCTGCCTGCAGTCACTCTACAAACAATTTCAGGCTTAGCCATGACAGGTAGGGTGCAAGATTCCCCATTAGTCAGCTGACATGTGACGTGGATGCAGCTGTGGTCATAGGAGCTCATGTGTCGGCCTTAGCCCAACTCATCATATTCTATCTGCTCAGTCCTTTGAGGCAGCTGGGCCAGCACTTTTAGAGGCAGGGAGCCCCGGCTCCATGCACTTTGACCAGGCCTTCCCATGCCAGTACCCCTGGCATTTGGGAGGGAGCTCCTGCTAATGCCAGCTTGGGGTATTTGCAGCCTCCATCATCACAGGCTTGGTGTTCTTCAGGTCTCTCTGCTCCCCACATTTTTTACAGCACCCTGACTCATCCTGCGCTCTGCCTCAGCTGCATTCCCCCTTCAACTGCACCTGGTACCCTGCTCACCTCCAAGCTCTCCCCCTGCTTTGGAGGCCTGCCCTGCCCCTTCTGCACTGGGCCTGGCTCAGGTGTCAGGGAGCCGTCTCCTCCAGTCTCCCTGGGCAAGTCCTTTGCCACTCCAGGCTTACAGGCGCTTCTCCAGGAGGCTTCTGCTAAGCGTTGCTCAAGGTCCCAGCACCTGTGGGTGGGGAAGAGAGTGCAGACAGTAGCCCTGGTGCTGCTGGCACGGGAAAGTCCTGCTAGTCTCCTGTACTGGCCTCGGACTAAGGCAGCTGGAGGCTTCAGTGTGGAAGAGAGGGGAGAAGGTAGATTCCAAGTCCCACAGCTCTTGCTAACGGCATGAGGCACCAGCCTGAGGAGCTTTTGTCTGCTGACAACTCCCAGGTCTCCTGAGTTTCAAGGGAATCTGCAGCAGGACAGAGGCCTGGGTTAGCTGCACCCAAACTAGCCAAGCCCACTGGGGAATCTCATTTATCTGTCACCTGCACCAGCCCCTTACAGGGCACAGGGGGCTCATGGGGGCATGAAAAAGGGGCAGGGGCAAGTGAACATTGACCGCTGGAACATGAATAAGGTCATTGATTGTTACCATGGCAGCACGACAAGGCCCAAGATACAGCTTCTTTGTGCTGGGAGCTGCACACACATAATGAGAAGGATCAGGGCCAGCCTGGGAGCTTCCTAGCCACACTCGGTCCCAGCCCAGCCACGTGGTAACAAATATTGCAGGCCTGTCCCAGGCAGCGGCAGACGTTGGAGCCTCTTCCCCTGTATGCAGGACAACCACTCAGGTACCCAGACCTATACTTGGGCCTTACATTTGGTATCTCACCTGACTCCTGGTAGGGAAGGGGCTCATCTCTGGGCACATGAGGTGGCTTGTCCGGAGGCCACAGTGTTTCCCTTTCTCCTGACTTCTCCAGAGGCCTGTCCGCACGATGGGCCTTTGGTTGCTCCAGCCAGGATCACCAGGTTCCTGTAATGCTGCAGTGGACTGCAACTTGTCTCCTTGACCTTCACACTCACTGTGACATGGGATGAGATAAGTATGTCACTGGGGATCTGGGATCTGAGAGAGGCAGGGCTACATGGGAACATCCCCCAAGCACATGGAGATCGGGACAGCAGCATCCATGATCAGAGTGAAACACTCATCTGGAGTTTCTCATCCTCCTCCTGCCCAGCTGAAACCCCTCTGCCAGGGCCACAGCCTCAGTGAAGGTCTGCACACTGTGCCCCCACTCCCGGCTCTGCATCCCCTGGGGCAGGATGGCTAGGAACTGCTCCAATACCACCAGCTCCAAGATTTGCTCCTTGCTGTGGTGCTGGGGCTCCAGCCAGCACTGGCAGAGCTTCTGCAGGCAGCTGTAAACCTCCTGGGGCCCCTTGGCTTCCAGGTAGCGGAGGCCCTGGCAGCACTGACACCAGGTCTCTGGGGTGGGGAGGTTGTGTCCCGGTGCCAACTGTGGGGTCTCTGAATGAATCTCAACTTCAGGAGAGGGCTTCGTGGTCTGTATCCCCTCCTGCCCCCAGAGCTCCTGGTATTGAACCAGCTCCTGCAGCTGCTGTTTTGCTGGCTGTGGTGCCGAGCACTGTGAGGATGCCCTCCGGTCCCAGCCTGGGCAACATGAGGGACTTTTCCTGCCTGCTCAGCTCCTGCCTGGAGCCCTCCTGGGTCCTGCTCATTCAGCACCACCTCAGGCTGCAACAAGGCTGTGAAGGGAAAGGCCACAGCTGCCACTGTCTCCCCAAGGAGAAGCCTCACTCAGCCAGGGCCTGGGCTCTCGCTCTCCCTGCACTCATGCACAGTGCCTGCCAACAGCGTCTGGTCTCTGGGGCTGCCTACAGGAAAGGAGACAGTACAGACCTCACCACGTGATGGGAGACCCAGGACCGTGACCCTGCCCCAGCCCTGAGGTCTGCCCAGCACTGATGCCCCAACTGTCTCCACTCAAAGCAGCCTTGGGGTTGTCATAGTTTCATAGTAGTTAGGGGTCAGAAGGGACCTGAATAGATCATCTAGTCTAACCCCCCCACTGGCCGCAGCACACGCTGGGATCACATGACCCCAGACAGGTGTTCATCCAACCTCTTTTTGAATTTACCCAAGGTAGGAGCAAGGACCACTTCCCTAGGAAGTTGGTTCCAGATCCTAGCCACCCTAACAGTGAAATAGTGCCTCCTAATCTCTAACCTGAACCTATTCTCCAGCAGCTTCTGGCCATTGTTCCTCAACACCCCAGGTGCTGCTGGGGGGAATAGGACCCTTCCTATTTGCTGCTGATGAGTTTGTAGGCAGCCACCAAATCCCCCCTCAGCCTCTCCTCATAGGGTCTGCCCTGTTGCCCTCCAACCAAGCAGTCCTTGCTTCCTTGTCCTTGCTTCCCCTCCTGCTAGACACAGGCTGCGGAGTCCAGGCTGGCTCCAGAAACCCCCAACCACAGCCCCCACCCAGCCTTACTCCTGCCCCTGGACCTGCAGCCCTCATCTGGCACCCAGCATGGCACAGGTCCCCATCCCCATGGTTCCTACAGTGCCCCAACAGTGCCAACCCCACCACAGCATCCACAAGGGATACAGCCCCCCCACTGCCCTTGCCTAGCCCCACAGCCCCTCCCCAATGCCCTGCACATGGCCCTGGGCACCCAGCTCTCCCCAGCCATGTGGCTGCGCCACTCCCTCAGGGCACACAGACCGCCCCCCCACTGCCATGTGCCTCCTGACCCCCTGCCTCCCAAGCCCTGCTGGTGCCCCTTACTCCCGACCTGCAGGCCCTACCCCAAGGGCTGGATTAACCCTTCAGTAGGCCAAAGGAAACAAACTCCTGGGGCCAGAGTTGGTCAAGACCTCCTCTCCCAACAGCACCCACAGCACCACTTTGAGAAAGAATAATCCCAAAGCAAGCCCAGGGGCAATGGGGTACGCTGGGTTGTAGGGCAGGGTGTGGATGTGGGGGTGCAGGCAGCCCCGGGGACTTGTGCCAGGGCCAGGTTGCACTGCCTGGTGGGGTGAGGAGTGCAGCTGCAGGTGGGCAGCAAAGGCAGCAGGCTCCAGGCTCCCCCAAGGGGGCAGAACTACCACAGGGGGGAGGCCCACACCCACACCCCTGCACGGACTCCCCATCTCCACCTTCGCCTCACCTGGCTGGGCTGAGCTGGGCCGGGCCCTTCCATGGCCTCGGGGGCAAGGGGAGGACAAGGGGATGGAGGCCAGTGGGGCCATTGCGGGAGGCTCCAGTTCGACTCCCCCAGCTTGAGGCCCTTGGCACGCGCTGTTTGCCTGTGCATGAATCCAGCCCTGCTGGTGCCCCTCACTCCCAACCCACAGCCCTGCTCCTACATCAGTGCGTCCTCTGCTCACCCTCTCCTGCAGCAATGCCCACCCGGGCCTGCAGCAGCCTCCTCCTCCCTGGGCACGCAGGGAAGGGGGGCTTGCATCAGGTTCTGCTCCTGGCTCCCCCTCTACCCCGGGGGGCTCTTCCAGGACTAAATCCCCACTGGACCCGGAGATGCTGCGGGGGCATGGGGCTGAGGCCAGAGCAAGCCCTGGGGCTGCAGAGGGGCTCCGGGTTGATGCTTCCCTGGCAGGGGCTGGTGGTGCCAAGGGAAGGGTCAGGTCAGGGGGAGGCAGGGGCCCGGGGGTCTGTGGGGTGAGTGGGCATGGATGGGCAAGGGCTGGGGGAGCAGGT